TCGGGTGGAGCAGTGTGCAGAGCCTGATGCCCCCAGGGCCCCCCAGCTGTGGGGACTGGTGGCACCCTTCTCTGTACTGTTCCGGGTATATATTTGCAGGACCCAGAAGTCATCTTTAGGTGGAGGACTCTCTGTGCCTTGCCCTGCTGAGTGAGGGCCATCCGAACACAAGCCAGCAAAGGCCACCTGCCACCTGGGTGGGGTCTGATGCCCTGGGGCTCCGGCCTGGCTGTGTTTGGTGGTCACGTGGCTGGCCCTGCTGAAAAGCAGCCCTTCCCTCTTTGCATCGGGGCCCAAACATCCCTGAGTCTCACCACTGAGCAGATGGCCAGGCTGAGAACCACATGACTGCCTGCATCCTCTGCTGACTTAGCAAGTCCTTCCCCACCCCAATGGGTCTCGGTTTAATTTACACCATGGCCTTGAATTTGCTCGTGACTAGCTGGAGCAGGCTTTGAGTTTTTATTTTTATTTTTTTTTGGCCATGCCACACAGCTTGCAGGATATCAGTCCCCGGACCAGGGATGGAATCCAGTCCATGGCAGTGAAGGCTGGGAATTCTAACCACTAGGCCACACTGAATTCCCAGGGCAGGCTCTTTAAAAAACAGTTTTACCTCTTCATTTTTGAGATGTGCAAACTGAGGCTCAGAGAAGCTAGGAACCTTCCTGAGGGTCCCAGAGTAGGCAGAGACACCTCCAATCCACCGTTTATCTGGACTTATACCCTTGTTTCTGCTGCAGCCTTATCAGAGGTGGGAGGGTCTGAGGGCTGTGGAATGCCTGCTATGTGCTGGGCCCCTTGTGAGCCGCTGGAGCAAGAAGGATGAAGTCCCCGACCTTAGGGAGCTCAGATGGGGTGATGGACCACCAAACATGAAGTAGACCAGGGAGTAGAATAAGACAGAGGTAGCCCCATGAAGAGTAGTAATTCGGGTGGAGTGGGTAGGGTGTGCCCTGGAGGGAACCCACTCCTTGCAGGGCCCTTCCTGTCCCCCGCAGGCAAGGCCAAGTTCCTACCTTTGGGTTTCAGCTGATGCTGCTGGTCGGCATCTCTCGTCTGCCCTGGAGTGATGGCAAAGGGAGGTTTCATATAGCTCTCCTGCACCCTTCCACTGTCACCATCACCCAGGTCAAGGGAGGGAGCCTTGGCATCAATGAGGGGATGCCCACTGGGTGCTGGCTATGGTCCCTCAGTTGCCCTTCTCCATCATTCCCTCACTCCTGCTGAGTGTGGGGTGCTTAGAGCTCCTTTTTCTTCTAGTTCCCAGGATGACATGGACCCATTGCCAGGCCCTCACATCATTTGCATTGAACCCTGTGTCCCCAGTTCTAATTGTTTCTTTTCCTCCACAATCTGGGTCCTGAATGCTCTGCACATCCCTGGGCAGCTCAGTGGAAGCCCTAACCATGGCAGACCTCCAAGAAATGCTGGACTCTACAAAGTAAAGACTCCTGAAACATCAGTGGTTTTCTTTTTTAAACACTGTAATATTTTTCAAAGGAGGGAGGAATCTATAAATCACTTTGGCTGAATATATTAGTCGAAGATATAATTGCGAAATCCATTTTTATGACCCGTCTTTACTGTCTCATTACATATTCCCTAAATATACATAATTTTCCACATCTTCATTCATCATGTGTCAAAAAATAATATTGCTGTTTTCTTCCGTTATTGTAAGAGGGAAAAGACGAACCAGGCTGCTCAAAAGCTTCAGGCTGCAGCAGCATTTTAACTCTGAAAGAGAAAATCTCCCATCTTCTTTTGAGTCAGATCTCATTCTCCCCCTTTGCAATCAGGGTACAGTAGATAGAAGGGTTCCTCTGGGAAGAGAAGCACCTGGGACTCCAGACCTTCCGGTGATGATTCTCAGTGCACAAGATACTGCTTCTGCTCCCTGCCAAGAACAGATGAGCTGGAGCCATCATGCGCTGGTTTGATAGATGCTTGCGCTCCAGTCACAGGCTCTCGTGATAATCATTTTTGTTTTTGTTTAGTTGCTAAGTCATGTCCAACTCTTTTGCGACCTCATGGACTGTAGCCCGCCAGGCTCCTCTGTCCATGGGATTTCCCAGAGACTACCAGAGAGGATAGCCAGTCCCTTCTCCAGGGGATCTTCCCAACCCAGGGATGCAATCCACATCTCCTACATTGGCAGGCAGTTTCTTCCCACTGAGCTACGTGGGAAGCCTGTGATAACCTCAGTGAAATGTTTTTAAAGGATGAATTTGAGCCTCAGGAAACTCCTATCCTTCCTGATATTTCTGCTCCTTAGAGAATCTCTGAAGAAAGGGACTTGGAGTGGGGATTAAAATGTGGATGACTACCCAACACAGTAAGAGACAATCCCACGATTCTCTGTATCATCTGGGGTCTCATGGGTTAAAAAATATCACTCACAAATAATCCATGGACATCAAGCTGCTCAAAATCTCAATGGTCAATCTGAGATAGAGGGAAACAATTTTACTGATTTCGGTCATGGGCCAATCAGTCCAGTAAGGCTTACAAAGCCAGCATCTTCTCCTCCCAGATGGAGGTGTGATTGGAGGGCTCCAGGCATAACCTGCTTGGTCTCTGAGAAAACTGAGGGGAGAGTGCTTAAGGATCTGCAAAGGAAAAGTTATTCAACCAGACACGTCTCTCTATCTCTCTCGTCTATCTACCTATTCTATCTATTGTTATCTATCTATCTAATCTATGGGCTTCCTAGGTGGCTCAGTGGTAAAGAATCTTCCTGCCAATGCAGGAGACGATGGTTTGATCCCTGGTTCAGGAAGATCCCCTGGAGGAGGAAATGGCAACCCACTCCAGTATTCTTGCCTGGAGAATTCCATGGATAGAGGAGCCTGGCAGGCTACAGTCCATGGGGTCACAAAGAGTTGGACATGACTGAGTGACTGAACACACACACGTCTATTTAACCTATCATAGCTGTTTATCCACCTATATAAACTATCATAACATTATCTATCTGTATCTAAGAGAGAGAGAAAACAGAACAGAGTAAGCAGGAGAGAAGGGACCTGTGTCACTTGCACGTGACCCCAGCATCCCTGACTCTCTGTGCTGGGGATACTGACTGAATACTGTCATCCAAGGGCACAAAGTAAGACAGATGGAGAAGGGCTGGACCACGCTTAGGTTAAGTGATGACCTCAGGATGCTGGTGATAAGGTCAAGGAGTAAAGCCCTGGCTGTGCTCCCTGGGTGGGCTTCCTGTCCTGCCTCCTGTGCTCCCCGTGCTCCACCCCCAAGCTGGATGTGCTCCACGCACTGTCCTGACCTCTGCTCCAGGTGCCAGCCCAGGATGGCGGGGATGTTCTCAGCCCAGGTGCCAAGTAGGGGGGGTTCTGCCTCCAGTTATTTCGGGAGTTAACCCCAGGGCCTTATTTGTTACTTCATCTTAAGCCAAGTAGCTGGATCTCAACCCTAGCTGCATCTGGAAATCACCTGAGAGCGTTTTTTAGAAAGTAGGACTGTCTGACCCTATGCCCAGGGATGCTGATTACTCTAACTTGGTCTTGTTTGAAGGAGTGCTTCCGCTGTGGCCGTGAAGAGGCACCCTGAGTCTGGGGTGGGTCCTCATGTCTCTATTACAAAATAGTGCCTTTGATGATTCTGATGATCAGCTGTCACTAAACTGAAGGAGTATTAACGATTCTTCCCTTCTGTGACTAGAGGGTTTGTTTATTTATTTTTCTTATAATTGGCTAGAAATGTACACAGCACAAAGGCAGCCTCAACACAGGTGATCACTTCACCATAGCTCCTATTCCATTTTCAAGGATCTTAACTGTGAATGAGTTCAGCCCCCTGCCACAGCAAACAAATGTGAAGCCTACATCATTGAAACAAATTGTTAAGATGTGCAAGTCCAGCTTGATTGTGAAGGTCAGATGGTATCCTCCACCTGTGACAATGGTAGAAAAAGAAGCCCTCATTCAATCAGTAAATCTCAGGTGTGTGTGCATGGAAGCTCAGTGCCTCTGTTAGTTGGAGCTGTTTGGAGCAAGAGCTACCACTCGGTCTATTATCTGCAGCACTATTTAAATTGTATCTTGGGAGGTTCAAGAAGGCGGGGAACATATGTACACCTATGGCTAATTCATGTTGTTATATGACAGGAATCAGACCAATATTGTAAAGCAATCAGCAATCAATTAAAAATAAATATAACCAAAGATAAAAAAATAAATACAAATCAGTAAAAACATAAAAAAAGAAAAAAATTGTATCTACATGAGAAAGCAGAGGAAAATAATAGCACTGTTAGTGTTTTAAATTTTTTTAATTGAAGTACAGTTCTGCGCTTGTTTCAGTGTACAGGAGAGTACAAACACATACACGTATATATATATTCTTTTTCAGATTCTTTTCCATCATAGGTTATTGCAAGATGTTGAATAGAGCTCCCTGTGCTATATAGTAGGTCCTTGGCATTTATTTTACATATGGTGGTTTAGTCACTAAGTTGTATTTGACTCTTGAGACCTTGTGGACTGTAGCCCGCCAGGCTTCTCTGTTCCTGGGATTTTCCAGGCAAGAATACTGGACTGGGTTGCCATTTCCTTCTCCAGGGGGGTCTTCCAGGCCCAGGGATCAAACTTGGGTCTCCTGTATTGCTGGTGAGGTCTTTACCAACTGAACTACCAGGGAAACCCTATCTTATATATAGCAGTCTGTGTACATTAATCTTGATGTTAAATGGGGCCCCAAGGAACAGAGACTGGTACAGAAAGTGTCCACGATGCTGAGACTCTGTTTCTGACTTTCCTCGTCCCTCCCTGGCAGGGGTAGCGACTCGGCAGTCAGAAGACGGCTGCTTCTGAGCTCTGAGGGAGCCCAGGACACGCTCTGCTGGCTGGTACCTTGCAAATTAGGTCTTGTGCTGGGGGAGGTGCCACGTGGCGCTCGGACCCTGGCTTGATCCAGAGCCCCTGTCTTCCTGCTTGCTGCTCAGTGATCGCCTTCTGTTTGTGCTTTTCTTGCTCCAGATGGGCAGAAGAAGGTTCAAGAGGAATTCGACATCGACATGGATGCGCCAGAGACAGAACGTGCGGCGGTGGCCATCCAGTCTCAGTTCAGAAAATTCCAGAAGAAAAAGGCTGGGTCCCAGTCCTAGCGGGAAAGTCCCTTCCTAGTCTGCCAGGAGACACCAGCTTCAGCCATCATCCATCAAGAAATTAAAAAGGAACAGCGCCCTCAAGACAGGTTCTCATCACATGATACCCATGTGCACCGCACTCCCGCAATGCATGCACAGAGACCCGTGATATTTATACCCTTGTAGGAAGGTGTAGACAATGCAGTTGTGAGCAGCTTAATCTCTGTTTATCTCCAGGATCATTCCTCCTGCAACTAATTATTTTCCTTGATGTTGTAATAAAATGGAGTTAAGATGCGTGATTAAAGTGTCTGCCTCTGTCTCTCCCCTTTTACATTAACTTGGAAAGTTACTGCTGTTAGAACGGGCTGCAGGCTAGATGCCTATTTTCCTCTCCCTCCAAGAGTCAGAGCTGAAACTCAGTGCCTTCTGTGAGCAGTGTTCCTGCTGAGAATGGGAGATGTGTGCTCAGCTGTGCCTGACTAGTTCAGAGATGGGCAATGAATTTTCTTCTTACCGTGGGGTTAGAGCCCTGGATCCTGGTGAGTCAAAGAATCAGAGGGCTCCCTGGGAAACTGTGACTCATGCAGAAGAACTTGAAGTGGGAGGGCAATACATCTATTTGGGCGTGTCACCCAGGTTTAGGCAGCAGGCACATTTCAGTGCCCCGGGGGGGATCCCCACTACTGAGAGCCATTCCACCACTCACCTGCCTCTCCCCACTCATGTGGGGCTCCATGGCCAGGTGATCCCCTGCCCCCCAACTCCTTACACTCCTCAGGTAGTAATTTGCCACCTGTTAAGACTATTTAGCACATCCTGCAAATGGGAGAAGCTGTGGGTTCTCTCACGCCCCATCTCTTCCCCTGCAAACCTTGCAGATGAATTGCTTCCCACACCCAAAGGGTAGGCAGGAAGGAGAGGGCTGTCACATGCAGAGGACACTCCTCCGAGTTGAGAGCCATGTGTGTATTTGCCTTGGGGCCCCGGGAGGCAGGCGCCTCCAGCCCCCAAGTCTGGTGTGGTTTGGGCTTGCCATGTGAGACCCTGATCTGGAAGCTGCATCTCGTCTTCATCCCGAGATGCTTGGGGGCAGCACAGGGTACCACTGTGGGCCAATCGGCTTCTTTCCTTTGCCAGCAATTAACCAAGGATGGAGGCAGAGAGTGGGGAATAGTGGAGAGAGGAGGGACCATGGTGTGTGTGTGTGTGTGTGTGTGTGTGTGTGTGTGTGTGCATGCCCTCTCACATACGTGCACCTGGGATTGTGTGTGTGTACAAAGTACAACGCATGGTGGGAGCAAGCAATGGGCAGGGCCATGACTTGTAGCTTCTCTGGCAAGGCCCCATTCACTGTCTCCAAGGTACAGACTGAGAAAGACTGTCTGAAAAACTCATCTGCAAATGTGTTCATTCTCTTGTGTATGCAAATCCCTTTTACTGGACACCTTCTGGGGCTGCTATGGTCCAGGGGACTTGGGCTCCTCTGATGTGTTTCCAACTAGAGGAGCACAAGTTGGGATCGTTGTGGCTTGCCCAGCAACCAGCCAGGGCCCTCTGGGGCTCCTGACAACCTGTGGTCCCCACTGAGAGGAGGACAGTGGGTTGAGGGGGCCCTCCATAGAAAGTGTCATGAAGACAGTGGATTATGAATGTGACCCTGTCTTCTCTGGAGTCACAGCATGAAGAAAGTTGGGAGCAAAAACAAGTGTTTAAGTCATTCACATGAATTCCCTCTACACCCGTCCTCCCAGCAATCCCACTGCTCCCTCCTTCTCTGAATGTTTTACATAAAGGAAGTGTGGTTCCCCCTTACTAGATGAGTCTGGACTTGATGGCCAACACTCTCTCTGGCACTGAGAAATCTAGAAACAGGACTTCCCTGGTGGCGCGCTGGATAGGAATCCGCTGCCAATGCAGGAGACATGGGTTCCATCCCTGGTCTGGGAAGACCCCACGTGCCACAGAGATACTAAGCTTGATGCACCCATAACTATTAAGTCCTGCAGGCCCTAGAGCCCAGGAGCCACAACTACGGAGCCCACAGCCTGCGACTACTGATGCCTGCCTATCTAGAGCCCGTGCTCTGCAATAAGAGAAGCCACCTTAACAAGAAGCCTGAGCACCACAACTAGAGAGTAGCTTCCACTCACAGCAGCTGGAGAAAAGCCAGTGTGGCAGTGAAGACCCAGCACAGTCAAAAATAAATAAATAAAATGCAATAAAAAAAGAAAGTCTAGAGACAACTGGTTTTATAGTGAGGATGCTCCCCCTAGAGGGGATTCTCCATGCACAGTGGGGAGTCCTAGGAAGGGACTCCTGGACCAGAAACACTCCTTCCACACTGACAAAGCCCCTGGAGGCAAAAGGAGGAGGGTGGGGTGAGGACTGTAATGACTGGAGAGGCCCCTCAAGCATTTTGATTCACCTTCTTGGTTCAGTCACAGGACGAGGGTGTATGTGACTTTCTATGAGTCACAGGAATGAATTTAATTTACTTCCCCGGTGGATTCATGAGAGTCTGAAATGCCAGTCAACAGCAGTGCTGCTGCTGCTGCTAAGTCACTTCAGTTGTGCCTGACTCTGTGCGACCCCATAGACGGCGTCCCACCAGGCAATGGGGAGACTCCAAAATGCACTGCTCTGTATGGGAATTGGGTGCATTAAGCCTATGGCTTTGTAGAGCCAGAGGAAGGCGCAGAGGCTCGTGGCTCCAGCCTCTGGGGACCTTTCTGCTCCTGACGCTGCAGTGTTCACCGCAGGGAGGAGGGGGACTTTCCCTTCCCAGGCTGTGTCCACCTGGGGCAACATGTGGTGTCAATTTTATTTCACACGTGGTTATTGAACTCCTAGTACATGTATGTACTTGGCCCTGTCACAGTGGTGGCAGACTGGTGGGGAGGAGGCAACAATAAGTAGATGGTAAAATGGAGAGATTTGTGCTCCAGTGGACCAGAGGAGAGACAGCTCATCTGAGCTTGGAGAATTACTGAAGTCTTCCTAAGGAATTGTTACTCACAGCAGTCATCTGAAAGATAGTGGGAGCCACTGTATTTACCAAGTAATAGTGTGGGTGGTAGGCGGGTGCAGGAGAGTCAGGTCAAGGCGTAGGAGGAGAAGGTGCTGAGCTCTGCAGACCCAAAGATTCACTGGATTAGCACACCCGAGCCTAGGGGCATGCTGTATACTCAAACTTGTGCAAGCCAGGAGGCAGGACTTGGAACTAGATTCATATCTGACCTACAGACCAGCCAAGTGACCACAGAGAAGCTATCTACCTTGAGCAGCTTATTTCCATACCATCCAGGTGATGATAAAGTCTACTTGGCAAGGTGGATGGGAAAATGTTAGGAATTTAAAATGTCTCCATGTGGGTATCTGATAAGTGAAAGATTATTAACGGTAGTGCACGTGTGCATGCTAAGTCATTTCAGTTGTGTCTGACTCTGTACGACCCTATGGACTGTATGTAGCCCACCAGGCTCCTCTGTCTATGGGATTCTCCAGGCAAGAATACTGGAGTGGGTTGCCATGCCCTCCTCCAGGAGATCTTCCTGATCCAGGGATTGAACCCGTATCTCTTTTGCCTCTTGCATTGGCAGGTGGGTTCTTTATCACTAGCACCACCTGGGAAGCCAATGGCAGACCATGAGGTAAAGAGTCAGTCTTTGCCTCCATCACCAACACCCTTTTTCCTGGCTCAACCTAATTCATGGGACTCTGCTTCTCTGGGTTATAGCCATTTGGGTAGGTGGTGTGTGCTTGACTCGAGAGGTTCAGTTCAGTTCAGTCGCTCAGTTGTGTCCAACTCTTTGTGACCCCGTGGACTGCAGTATTCCAGGCCTCCCTGTCCATCATCAACTCACAGAGCTTGCTCAAACTCGTGTCCATTGAGTCGGTGATGCCATCCAACCATCTCATCCTCTGTCATCCCCTTCTCCTCCTGCTTTCAATCTTTCCCAGCATCAGGGTCTTTTCCATTAAATCAGTTCTTTGCTTCTGGTGGCCAAAGTACTGGAGTTTCAGCTTCAGCATCAGTCCTTCCAATGAATATTCAGGACTGACTTCTTTTAGGATAGACTGGTTTGATCTCCTTGCTGTCCAAGGAACTCTCAAGAATCTTCCCCAACACCACAGTTCAAAAGCATCAATCCTTGTCAGTCTTAACCAATAGTCATGGACCTGAGCCAGTTAATGGGAAGGAGAGTAAATGCTGAAGCTGGTTAAAGCTGACCCTAAATCTTAAATCTTTTTTTTTTTTTTTCTGTGACAAGAAGCTGCAAAACTTCATTTGGAGAGAAATGCAATGGGATGCATGTGAGGACCCAAGACCCAAAATACATGGGCCCACAAGAGATGGAAGGGTAGCTTAGGTTGACTCATTTGTTGAAAAGAGCAGAAACCCACTCTTTGTTCTTTTTCAGTCACCAAGTTGTGTCCAACTCTTTGTGACCCCATGGACTGCAGCACACCAGGCTTCCCTGTCCTTCACCATCTCCCAGAGTTTGCTCAAACTCATGTACATTGAGTTGGTGATGCCATCCAACCATCTCATCCTCTGTCCAGGGGGCTCTAAGAGTCTTCTTCAGCATCATAGTTCTCTCTAAAAAAAACAGTTATTAAGGTCTCACAGACATCCAAGAATAGAACACCTAAGTTATCTCGGATGCCATGGACAGGCAGAATTACATTGAATTTATGACCACACTGAGGCATAGTGAGGGAAGAATGGATTTCTTTATATTATTGTCTTTATAGCCTTTTATGACTTTCAGTCAAGTCTTACAGTTTTCTTCACATAGGTCTTGCACACTTCTTTTCAATTTCCAGGTAACTCATAGTATTTGTTGTCCATTCAAATACAGTCTTTCCCCACAGTGATCTCTAGTTGGGTTTGCTTTTTTTCTAGGATAACTACTGATTTCTACATATTCAACTTGTTCAATTCAATTCAGTTGCTCAGCTGTGTCTGACTCTTAGCAACCCCATGGACTGCAACACTCCAGGCTTTCCTGTCC